CCACCTGCTCCTGCGGCGTAGGGTCTCTGGCCCCGTGGAGCCTGGGTCCGTGTGAGGGCAGAGCCCCCAGCGCTCTTTGCTCTTGGTCACTTGGCAGGTGCTGAGCTGGGACCTGGCTGTCCCCTGCTGGGTGGAACAACACCCCCCAAACACCGCCCTGTGTCGCAGCAAGCGTTGATTTTGCCCTTGGTTTGGGGACAGGGAGAGAGGGACAGGGAGAGAGGTGGGCAGACCACCCGCCCACACGTCCAGGCCCCCTCTGGGGCTGGGGGCTGCAGCCAGCTGGTGTCCACGGGCTGAGGGGAGGGGCTGTGGGTCAGAGCCCACCTGTGGCCCCTCTGGCTCGGGCCTGAGGGCTGGGGACTTCTGACATGGCCCCAGTGTCCCCCAGAGTGTGCCAAGAGGACAGGTGGAGGCTGTGTGGCCCCATCCCTACTGTACTCCCCCCTCCCCTGGGACAGTGGTCCTGTGTCCCCAGGTTCAAGGGCAGGAGGGGACCCCACCCCAGAGTGGCCTTTTGAAAAGTGGCTCAGAGCTCCGTTCTACCTGCTTCTTCTAGAAGATCATCCCCACCCAGCGAAGTGGCCGACTGGGGTCCCAGGGCCCCTGCATTGTGACCTTGAAATGGATCTTGCTGCTCTAATAAGTCAAAGTTCATCCTGGACGCGGGCTGGGCCTCAGTCCCACGGCAGGAATGAGAGGGGATCTGGAGACCCACGAGAGAAAAGGGAGAGCCGCGTGGAGGGGGAACCTGGAGCGTCCAGAGCTGGGAAAGCCGGCAGGCGCCACCCCAGGGCTCAGAGGGGGCGGGGCCTGCGGTGCCAGGTCAGGCCCTGTCCCCGGGCCAGGCACAGGATGATCTGACATGTCGGGGGCACAGCTGTGGCGCTGTGCTGCGGCCACGGACCGGAACTCACCCCTCGCCCCTCCAGTGGCTCCCCCCCACTGCCTACGCCCCTGCAGGGTGGTGTCACCTTCCTGCCACCGTGAGGGGCCCAAGGAGGTCCCTGGAGGCAGCGGCCTCTCCCCGGAGCTTCCAGGCTCTTGAGGACACCCCAGAAGAGGATCCAAGACGGTCGGGTTTTGGCAAAGAGGCTCCCATCTCGCCCCGTCCCTGGGCTGGGCCTCGCCCGAGGCAGAAGCTCCAGCAAATGGCTGGGGCGGGTCTCCCTGGAGGTCCCACCTGCAGGGACCAGCAGGCCCCACCCAGCTCCCCCAGCCACACAGACCCTGGGCCTGCTCGGGCCGGGTCAGGTCCGCACGGCCTTGAAATGGGTCTTTGCTGACATAATAAGTTAAAGTTCATCCTGGAATTGGGCTTGGAGGGTGACCAGCCCCCGCCCCGCCCTGAGTGGCCACTGTCCTGTGCACCTGCCCCGCTCCTCCACCCCCGGCCCCCATACGGTCTCTGAGGAGTCTGGAGATACCTTGGGAGGGCTGTGGAGGGGCGGCTGGGCTCCAGGGCTGGGCTGGAGCAGGCTCTCCCCAGGGCAGGTCGGGTCAGGAGCCCGAAGGGAGCTGTTCCTTCTGCCCCGCCAAGGACGGTCCAGGAGAGCTGCCCTGCGGGGTGGGCAGGGAGGAGAGGGGCCCTTTATGGTAACTCGGGCAGACACTATGTGTCTTTCTTTGCTCCTTGGTGCGTCCCCAGCAGTTCCCACGTCTGATGTCACCCCGAGGGTGTACCAAGCCACCTGTGGGGCACTCAGGCGAGAGGCAGTGATTCCTCTGTAAACCTGAAGCATGAAGGCGGCTCCCTGAACAGGTGGCTGAACGTGTGCATCTGAGCACAGACAGTGGAGGCCCGCTGTGCCTCCTGGGAGGCTGCAGAGGCAGCGAGGGTCCTGCCTGGGGGTGGGGGCTCTGCTTGAGCCTGTCGGGCTTCGCTGGTGTGTAAAGGAGCCAACAGGGGCACGTGCGGTGGATCCCCGGCGTCGTGATGTCGGGGGAGGGAGTTTGCTGGGTTTCCTCCTGTTTTCCCGTCGTGAGGAACTCAGGTGTCGAGGTGCTTTTTTAAACAAACTCCCAGCAACCAGAGGGAGGCACGTCCCGTTGCTCACCTGGGATGGGAACCTGGTGTCAGGTGCACCTGTTCTGCTGGGCGTGGAGGCACCCTACCCAGGAGGCGGAGGCTGAGGCAGGAGGACTGCTGGCACAGGAGTCCAGGGCCGTCCCTGGACGTCATGAAACCACGTCTCAAAATAAAAAGGGCTGGAGATGTTAGGGATAGAGCGCCCTGGGGTCCAATCTCCAGCACCAAAAAAAAAAAGAAAGAAAGAAAGCACAGATGGCCAAAGAGTCAGCCAAAAGCCAGGCAGGAACGGAGTCAGGACGGTACACGTGAGCTGCACAGCGTCATGCAGGACAAGTGACACGAAACTGGTGTCCCGAAGTACTGCAGGGTGCAACCTGTGGAGCTGTGCCCGGAGGCCCCACCTCAAATTTTGAATTGGTTCTAGATGTTTAAAAATGGAAAGTTTTCACATAAAAATCCAGCTCTCCACTCTTTTTGGTGTCTATGTGGCAAATGTGAAGACCTTATGTTCCCGCAGAATACCCCGAGGCCAGGCCTGAGTTATGGCTGCCTGAACAGATGGGGTGCCCCAGGGATCCACTGAGCTGACTCCGTCCTTCTGCTGGGTCACTGGATCCTGGAAGCATCTGAGTGGGTCCCCGCTGGATGCTGCTTTTCATATCTGTTGAATGGGTGGAGAGGAGGCTCTTCCAAATCACCATAGTTAGAGACAGAAGCCGGTTCCTGCATCCCGACCAGATGGGGGTTGCTATGGCAACTCCAGCACCTGCTCTCGCCTGCTTCAGGGCCGGTCACAGAGCCTCCCCCCAGAGGCACGCTGGGTCCCAGGTGCTGGTGAGTGAACGTGAACGCGGAGGTGGCTGGAGAACAGCTCGTGCACACAGGAGGCGCGAGTTCTGAGACTCGGTCTCCCCAGGAAGGGTGCCTCCTATTATCCACCTCCCCGTGGAGTCCACGTGGTGAACAATTGCAAACGAGCTGCGTTTAGGACGCAGAGATGTGTTTTCTCATTTACAAGAAAACCAAAATGAGTCGCGGCAGCCAGTGTGGCAGAGTGGTTGAGCGAATGGGTTCTCAGCCTGGCTCTGCCGCTCCCTTGCTGTGTGACCTCAGACAGACCATGAAACCCCTCTGAGCCTCGGGTTTCATAATAATAATGCAGTACCAGCAGCCTGCCTCTCGTAAGATTGCTGTAGAACGAACGTGCGGTGTGTGCAGGGCGTGGCTGGGCGCTCGTGACCACCAGCGGCTCAGCAGTGGCTTACCTGCAAACACAGAGGCATCTAAGTTGCTTCGGGCCTTGCTAGGTTGCTGAGCCTGGCTTTGAACTTGTGAACCTCCTGCCTCAGCCTCCTGAGTCGCTGGGGTGACAAGCGTGCGCACCACCATGCCCAGCCGCCATGCTGACCGGGTCTAACTGGAACCTGCTCTCACAGATGTTCTGGTTGGGGAATCGTCCCTGTCGCCCTGGGCTCTGGGATCTGGTCGGTGTGAGGGTCAGCCTGCCCCCTCCGGAGTCAGATCTGCAGGCAGGCTGCAAGTGAAGTGCTTTTTAAAGAAAAAGGCACGTGGAGTGGGCATGGTGGACCCCATTCACGGTCCTTCCCTTCACCTCGTGTGCCCACTGCTCACGCCTGTCTGTGCCATCACTGTGGTAGGCAGACCTCTGACATACCCCATAGTGACAACTACCTTGTGTGGGTCAATGCCCTCCTCTTGGGTGTAGAGGGAGCCTTTGACACGGTGGGCATCCCCTGTGGCTGGGTCCTGCTGCGTGGCCTTGACTTGAAGAAAGGGGGATCATCCTTGGTGGGCCTGACTTAATCAGGGGAATTGAAGGAGGGAGCCGACCAGAGGGATCCTCTGCTGCTGTGGTGGGGACCACAAGGAAAGGGCCCAGGAGTGGCCTCCAGGGGCTGAGGGTGACTCCTGGCCAGGTGGTCACATGACTGCCAGGAAGTGAATTCTGCCCACAGTCTGGGTGAGCTGGGAAGAGGTCCGGGGCCCCAGGTGAGGACATACCTGATGACCTCCTGGGCCTGTCCTCTCCATGCCCTGGGCAGAGACCCCGTGTGTCTGCCCGGACTTCTGACCACAGAACTGTGGCCCACGAAGGGCAGGTGCTGGCGATCCGGGGAGATGGAGTTTTAGGCATCAAGGTTGTGAATCTTTCTGATGCAACAATAGAAAACTAACAGGACCTCTGGATTGTTCCAGAATTTGTCTACTCTTAATTCGCATCTCTGCCTGGACCCTGCCGGCAGGCACGTTCTCAATCCAGTTTCTGTGGATGGACTTCTGACACATTGAGGGCTGACCATTCAAGTCAGAAATCTGACCTGCCAAACTGCCCTCCGAGGCCAGGCGCGGATGGGTGCTGCCCCGTGTCCCCAGGCCTGCCCTGTGCTGGTCTCCCAGGGCCTCTAGGTCTGGCAAGCAGGGAAGGGGGTGCCAAGGAGAGAGTGGGGGGACGTGGGGACTGCGGCCCAGGGAGGGGCAAGTGCTTCTGAGGCTGGCAGCTGCCGTGGCCGGGTGTTCCCCAGGAAATCCCAGGTTGGGGTATCTATGGGAGGTGAGTGGCATCTCATCCCGTATGTTCCCTTGTTCTGCCGACGCAGAGGAGGGGGTGTGGGGAGCAGGGCCCCCGCCCCACGCTGGCCGCTTTGCTGAGGAAACAAGGTGCATGGGAGGCAGCCGGGCTCCAGGTGGCTGCAGAAGACCTGAGCACCCAGCTGTCTCCAGGCCTCTCCCTCCTGCCAGGCCCTTGGCAGAGTCCAGAACATTCCCTCCAGCCGCCCGGGTCCCTGTGACTGTTTCCGTGGCACCATGAGCCTCTGAGCGAGCTCGGGTTGTCCTCCTGGGCCCCGCAAAGCCCCTTCCAGCTGAGCACCCCACCCGTGTGACGGAGGCGCCCTGGGCCTGGGGCCAGCCTGGACTGATGAGCACCCTGAGCAAATGCTGGGGGAGGCCCTGACCGTCCAGCTGTGGCGCTGGGGGCTGGGCAGCCGCTGGATGAGAGGGAGAGAGAGAAAGAACCCCCACCACAAAGCCCGGTCTTGGGGACGGCTGGCCACACCTGCTGTTGGGGCGGACCTGGTGCCAGGGGAGTGAGTGTCGCGGGGAGCCCTGGCCGGAGGCTCATGGCCCTCGGAGGACAGCACCCCATGTCCCTCAGCTTGTTCTTTTGTGGCACTTATCGCCACTTGACACCATGTGCTTATTTGCTTGTTCACTTCCTGTCTTTTCCTCTGGGAGAGCAGGAGTTTTGTTCGCTGTATCTCCCCAGCTCCCAGACCAGCTGCAGGCCTGGGGTAGGTCCTCAAACCTCCGGGCAGGCGGTGACGTCTGTGATCCCAGCAATGTGGGAGGCTGAGACAGGAGGATCACTCACGAGTCAGAGGCCAGCCTCAGCAATTTTGTGAGGCCCTAAGCAACTTAGTGAGACCCTGTCTCAAGAAAAAAAAAGAAAAAGGGCTGGGGATGTGGCTCAGTGGTAAAGTGCCCCTGGGTTCAGTCCAGGCATGGAGTAGGTACTGTTAAACCATGGAGTACATCTCTATGCCAAGAAATAGCTTAGCATTTGCAAAACAAAACAGATCAGGATGCACTCCTTCCCGCCATCTTCCTCACTGGTGTGTCTGGGAAGCCCCAGCACCACCACCAGGGGGTCTCAGCCCTGGCAGTCTCACCCCCTGGGAGCCCTGGGCAATGTTTGGACACATTTGTGACAGTCACACCTAGGGCTGAGGGGCTGCTGGCCTCTGGGAGGGAGAGGTCAGGGATGCTGCTGGCCGGCCTACAGAGCTGAGGATGCCCCCAGAGTATCCAAGAGTGCCAATGTCGAGAAAACGCGACAGACACGGCCTCCTCTGTGCCGGCTCCTCACCCTGCTTCACAGCAAGTTCAGATCCTGGCTCTGCCACTTCCAGGCCTGAGGGTTTTACCCTCCAGAGCCTCA